AGAGCTGTGAGGGGGGGGTTGAGGGGCTGTGTAGGGGAGCTGTGAGGGGGATGTCTGAGGGTGAGAGCTGGGAGGGGGGGGCTGTAGGGAGGAGAGCTGTGAGGGGGTCGAGCTGTGAGGGGGGTGGAGAGCTGTGAAGGGAGGTGGTCATGTAGGAGGGAGGGCTGTGAGAGCTGTGAGGGGGGTCATGTGTCATGTGAGGGAGGGGGGGGTCATGTTGTGAGGGGGGGCAGGGAGAGCTGTGGGGGGTGGGAGTGGGGGCTGTGAGGGAGGTGCTGTGAAGGGAGTGGGAGCTGTGAAGGAGGTGAGCTGGTCATGGGAGCTGTGAAGGGAGGTGGCTATGAAGGAGGTGGTCTGCTGTGAAGGGAGGTGGTGGGAGTGAGCTGTGAAGGGAGGTGGTCATGGGGTGGAGTGGAGGAGAAGGGAAGGGAGGGCTGTGAAGGAGGTGGTGTGGGAGTGGAGGTGTGGGTGTGGAGGGGAGGGCTGTGGTGAGTGGGGAGGAGGGCTGTGAAGGAGGTGGTCGGGAGGAGGGCTGTGAAGGGAGGTGGTCATGTGGGAGTGGAGGCTGTGAAGGGAGGTGGTCATGTAGGAGGAGGGGCTGTGAAGGGAGGTGGTCATGTGGGAGGAGAGCTGTGAAGGGAGGTGGTCATGTAGGAGTGGAGAGCTGTGAAGGGGGGTCATGTAGGAGTGGAGGGCTATGAAGGGAGGTGGTCATGTGGGAGTGGAGAGCTGTGAGAGTATAGTCAAGAGGAAAGAGAGGGCTGAGGGAGTCGTGTTATGAGTATAAGTCAGAGAGGATCCTTCTTCTCATAAGGTAAGAATGTATACCAACTTTTCTCCTTACCAGAAATGTGAGAACTCCTCCAAGTGGCTCACTTATGGTACGACACAAAGATGGATTCGCAATGGTTCATTCGATATTTTTCTTTACACTTGGACAGTATCTTACCGATTCAATGGCGTCCAAATAACAGTGAGACTTAATAATTTCGTTCTCTTAATCACTATAGTTAGGGAAAAACTCACGGAAGAATTTTTAAGAATTTAGATCTTGAATTGTGGGGGAAAATAAGTGGGTCTGTTGAGAGGAAAGAGGAAAATATACGTTAATGTCACCCCAGCGGCCAGCACACATGACTTTATATATGTATACTTGTTTAAGCTCAGGGGTTCAACGTTGGCATGGCACTAATTTTTAAGTTCACACACACACACACACACACACACACACACACACACACACAGCATCATAGTTACCCTGAACACCCGACAAGACTCAAGCAATCGAGATAGTGGCCTCATATCCATTTAGCGCTCGAAAAAAATTTATATTGTACTAATCCGAAACAAAGGGAAGCCGTATATCCCTTCACCAGGCGGGGGAGTGAACACCTCTTAAGCTGATGAGGAAACTCGACCAATCGTTCACAAATAACTATAGAGATAAAGGGGAAGATACGGTTACCTTACACTACAGCGCTCGTCACTAATACCAAGTCAGAGAGGGAGAAATATAACTCTCTGACTCAAGTGGTTCAGTACTAACCAGCTATTAACGAGACCCACCCACATCTCTCACTTTCCTAGTTCGCTAGTACCAAAAGACAAGAGTGAGCAACACAACTAACCTATCTGACCCCATCTCAGAAACCTTAAAAACGTAACAGGTTCGCAAATATCCAGATGTATACCCATTCTGTATCAACCTGTGTGTGTGTGTGTGTGTGTGTGTGTGTGTGTGTGTGTGTGTGTGTGTGTGTGTAATAATAATAATAATAATTAACGGTTTATTAAAATAGTTCTGCAGCCCGAAGGCTGAAAATATACATTGGACATAAATGGCTTATTACATACATTGGTGGTTTAACAAAAGCCTTCATTAGAGAAAGGTAAAGGAACATACAGTGAGCATACAGATTAATGTAAGTGTTGAACAGCAAACACGTAGTGTAGTAACTCCCTCCCAGATGGTGTTAGGAGGGACCTCACGTGGTGTAGTAGTTCCCTCACAGATGGTGTTATGAAGGACCTGACGTGGTGTAGTAATTCCCTCACAGATGGTGTTATGAGGGACCACGTGGTGTAGTAATTCCCTCACAGATGGTGTTATGAGGGGCCTTACGTGGTGTAGTAATTCCCTCACAGATGGTGTTATGAGGGGCCTCACGTGGTGTAGTAATTCCCTCACAGATGGTGTTATGAGGGGCCTCACGTGGTGTAGTAACTCCCTCACAGATGATGTTATGAGGGACCTGACGTGGTATAGTAATTCCCTCACATATGGTGTTATATGAGTGAGGTGTGGTCCCAGTCCTTCCTATCGTAGACGGATTAACACATCGCTGGTTGTTGTTGGGTCTCACGGGCCGTTATCACTGGGTACCTGGGATCTCACTGTGTGAAGGTTAACTTGGGTACGACTGTTATTGTTGAGTTGTTCTCACTGACTTGAGCACTGTTCACCACTGTTCACCTCTGTTTAACACTGGTTCCATTCCTTTCCTAAATGAAATTTTAACTTCTGGCGAGAACTTGTTGATATTCCGGTGGGGAGGAGGGTTCAGGGGAGGGGGTTGGTATGGGCCAACTTAACAGTTGACCTGGCTGCTCCGAGAGGAGCGCCAGGTACGTCTTGACCCTTCGGTGGTCAAGGATGTAGTGTGTGTGTGTGTGTGTGTGTGTGTGTGTGTGTGTGTGTGTGTGTTTGTGTTTGTGTGCCAGGACCATATGACAGACGATGCCCTAGGCTGGCTCATGCTGAGAATTCTGTACTATAAAAGGATGGATCACTTCAATAGGTGATCCTGTTACTGCCATGCGGTCAGCAAGTCAACGCGTGTACCAGTTGGCAGTCTTGAGTCAGGGAGCTTTAACGCCAATACGAGTTCCTTTGCCAAATGCGATGGGATATACTTATTGTTTACCTGTGAATTGCTTTAGAATTTTCAAATGGAATATGGGATTATCATTCATCTGCTTGCCAAGGGATCCAGAAAGGTGAGTTGCACATTAGTCAAAGTCGATTGTTAATTCGTTTTTATCGCCTCTTTATAACCCTGATGTACAAGGGATCAGTGTGAGGCTGACAGCATACTGTGACCAGGAAACGTGTTTTACTATACATGTAACCTAACTCTATATCTCGGAACCATATTTCTACTGTATTCAAAATTACATAATTATATAAAACAGGCGAGCAATTTTGGGTGACTTTATTTTGTTTAATGTGAACTCTACCCTGGTCACAACGTTCCCCAGATCAACAATAGCTTACTTTACGTTATCATTGTTTAGTGACTTTCTCGGTCCTCACGGGTAGTCGTTAAGTGATATCTATGTAATTATGAAGCTATAGATTTAAGAATAGAACCCCCAGGGTCGAAAAATGAGACGCGAAAAATTAGCATCACCAGCAGCTCTGTCGTAGACTTGTACAAGAAGCATTGTTCCATGTATCACAGCTAAAATAATACAGTACAGTCATAGCCTGTTCTAAAACTTTATAATAAAATGTATCATTCATTTTTTTTCTTTTTAGCTACTGTAGGTAGGGTGAAATTTAACTGTAAAACATAGTGACTGTTAGCACTCCATCGTTTTTACTGGGAACCTGGGATAATGGGAGCACAGTTCCTGCAGTGGACAGATATAATTTTCCCGCAAAATAATACACGAGTATGTCTGGCTTTGAAATATTATTTCTATAATTCTTAATTTCCGTGCTAACAGTCTATAAAGCACATGCACATTATTGGTAAGTTAAAGTCGGATACCTCTACATAATGTCAGGTGAAGCGCAATGGATTTGTCTGAGATGTGACTTCCTGGCCGCTAGAGGCAGAACGAACCATCCACTTTACACTATAGAAGCCTTGCTCTTATCCACTTGAAGCCTTCGTGCAGTGTATTAACGTTTCCAGCTCGTTACCTCTCCTTCCTATCCTTTTATTCGCATATTAAAAAAAAAAATCTGGAGACCGAAGGAGGAATCTTAAAGGATTTTATATTATACACGCGATATACTGTACTGATTACATAACACCTAATAAATTCTAGTCTGACCACTACACAATTTGATACCAATGTTTATTTATATTTAATTTAGACCAATAACTACATTTTATTCCAATTACATAATACTACTAAAGGCCAACACTAAAATGAATGATGTATATTTTATCGTGTAACTGGTGTTAAATGGCCCTTAGTTCACTCCCTACCAGAGTCATTGTCAGGGTGGAAAAGTTTTAAGTGCGGGAAAAAAGAGAGACGGTTTTGACATTAAACTCGTAGCCACTGAGGTCAAAGAAACACTGATGGGGGAGGGGGGATGAGGGGGGATGGGGGGATGAGAGGGGATGGGGATGAGAGGGGATGGCTGAGGGATGAGGGGGAATGCGAGTGTAAAGTAGGGAAGAGGATTATCACTTAATCTAACGAATGCTCCAGCCAGTAACTTAGAAACGTGTATGTTTACTTAGGTTAGGTTAGGTTTAATTTATATTAATTTAGCTTAAATCCAGGTGAGGTTGTTAACCCTCTCAACTCTTCAATTTCCTCAAGATAATAGTTGGGAAAAATCCAAACTGGAAAAAGAGAGGTTTATATCCTGAACGAGGAAGCATGTATTGAAATCCCCTCGTGTGGCACTTAAGCTGATATATGGAATTTTAGGCAAGGAAAATACTCCACTCACATGCACTACATCTCCGTGTATCCATTATGGCGAACACTTTAGAATAAACACAATCTATCTTCGTTTTGCTGTTTTATTCGTCTTAATATTTTCATGTTCAGTCCTGTTCACACTTATAATATTATCTAGTTCAGTCATGTTCACACGTACAACATTGCCTTGTTCAGCCAAAGATCTTAATAACATCCTGTTCAATATGTTCACCTTTATATTATGACCATTTTACTTCACATTCATATTTTTTTATGCTGTTCTGTTCATCTTATAAAATTACTCTGTTCACCAGTGTTCTCTCTCCCGCCAGCCCATGTTATGCGAGGCATCTTATGTTCTCCTGGAGTACGCACGCACCGCCATGTTCATGTGGATGTTCATCGAGGGGCTGTACTTACACAACAAGATAACAGGTAAGGGTTCTCTTACCTATATCACCCAACACCTGAATAAACAACAGGTGTGTTCTCTACTTGTATAACACTACGTACACCAGTTATGCGTTATCAACTTACAAAATACAATACACACACACACACACACACACACACACACACACACACACACACACACACACACACACATACACAATACACACACACACACACACACACACACACACACACAGTAAACAAAAACAATTAATTAATACAAACCTGTGTGTGTGTGTGTGTGTGTGTGTGTGTGTGTGTGTGTGTGTGTGTGTGTGTGTGTGTTTCTCTCTCTCTGTCTCGCTGTTTGTTTGTTTGTTTGCTTTTGTTGTAGTAATAGAACTGCAATACGTTCGAAATTCTACTAACTTAATTAAACATCCAAATTTGTGGTTCTAAAACAGAAACACATTAGAGAAGAGAAAACCAGAGTTATATTCCTTTGTGAAATTTCATTACGAGGGGATATTGTATAAACGCACCTGGATAATTAAACCATTAACGATATACACACAACCCAAAACTAAACTCACCTGCAGCTCCTAAAATCATGATTACGTAAACAAACAACAGTGTAATTGCAATTTGTCGCTGAAATAACAAACTAACGAACATCGCTAATGATCGACGCGTAATTATTATATCAACGACTGACGGAACAAGGTGGATATTTATCACTAACCCCATGATAAAGTTCAATCAAGCTGATACTGGGTCAGAGAGAGAGAGAGAGAGAGAGAGAGAGAGAGAGAGAGAGAGAGAGAGAGAGAGAGAGAGAGAGAGAGAGAGAGAGAGAGAGAGAGAGAGAGAGAGAGAGAGTGAATGAATTAGAGCGAAAGAAAGAAAAAAGAAGGAAATTTTGAGGGAAAGAGACAAAATAAAAATGAAAGAGAAAGAAGGACCTTAACTACTCACCACAATAATAACATAATCTCATGAAAATTCCACGTAATTACTTCCATCAAAACTGCCGAAGAGAAAGAGAGACATTGAAAAAGAGAGAAAGAGAGAGAAAGTGAACTCATTATGAACTACAGCTCTGGTATAAGCACCTGTATCCCGCCTCATATATAAACCAGTATCTCACATGATATACCAAAATGATGTACCTGAAGCCACCGTAGCGTAATTACCAAGCTTAATTAATTCACACACCTTTGACTATTTTAAACGACACAGTTTACACAAGCGGGACTTTTGTTTTCAACCTAACTAGATTTTATTGCTGTATAAACTAGTAGATTAAGCTATTATTATTTACGGGTAATGGTGACTGTTTACCTGGTGGAATTACCCCCCCCCCCTCCACCACCACCAAAAATAAGAAAGAAAGAAAGAAATGTGTCTTCTTATTCGAGAGCCGCTTGATGACGCCACAGTTGTATGCCCTCCCCTTCTTTCAAACACACCAAGAGTGACAGATGAATGGGATCGTGAAATAAATGAAGTACAGTACGGTATATATCCAGTGTTGATGGTAAGTGACATTTACACCAATTCAGCAAATAGATAGAAAAGGATAGAGTACAGCAAATGCTTAAGAGATATTATATATATATATATATATATATATATATATATATATATATATATATATATATATATATATATATATATATATATATATATATATATATATATATGTAAATTAGCCAGTATACTTTACACACAGCGTATATCTAGAACAGAGCCCTTGCCACTTACATTAATTAGAGTTCTGGATTAAACAGAGTAAATGACCTGAACCTTTCTGTAGCGCCCAGACTAAACATTTTGCCACACTGTAATATGAACCGGTCCTACAAATGTTAAATACCACGTATAGATATTTAAAATTACAATTATTATCCATGGCTTCATCTCTTGTATTCTTGTAAGGTAGGAAAATTTTTAAATATATTTTGTCTTTTTATTTGACATTATATTCAATTATCTGTACTAAAAAATTACTTTATACAAAGCCTATAGGAGTTATATATAAGAGAGATTATATAGTGTTGTTCATATATAAGTCACAACGCATTTATTACCTAAGTACTTTTACTCAATATATAAGAACAAAAATAAATAAAAATAAACATTATAAAAGCATAAATTTACAGCGTAATCTACAGTACATTTCTTCTCAAGACTAACACTAACACAGCCCAAGAACACAATACCAAGAGTGACTTATGTATTCTTTAATAACATCTACTCATTTAATTATACTTTAGCGGTTCCCTGTGGCCGTGAACCATGTTAATACCAGCTCCCGTATACAGTACACACAAAACACTAACTGCACTAGGAAGACGAGTTTAAATATCACTGGCTTTATTTACCGTGTTAGTCATTCTTGTTACTGTTAGTCAAATGTTAAGCGGGGATTAGTGATCTTTACGTGCCAGCCCGTTCATACCCCTTGATATAACAGCAGACTACCACAGCCATAACCACGGCCACACGTCACCTTTAAACACCACCGCGCTGTATTTTAGATCATATGACCCATTAACTTTACTATTAACTACGTAACATATAAGAAATAACAAAAAAATATATGTATATATATATATATACCTACAAAGGATTATGACGGAGCTACTAAAAAAATGACCTCGTTATATACACGCTTAAGGAGGCTCAGTGGAAGTTATGGTTGTGACGTGACGAGTTAATGGCGCGTGAAGTCACATTACCCAGCATTACTTAAGCAGCGAGAAGAATTACCTCATAACCTGACGTTCTATTCGTTAACCTATAAACAAAAGAGTAAAGAAAAAAGAATCATGGAACTACACTTGCCCAGATTTTAAATGATTGTATATTAAAATATGAGTAGTCTTTGTCAATGACCTTGAATTGAACAGGGGAGGGAGAGAGGGGGTGGTAAGTAAGGGAGAGGTGAAGGGAGAGGAAGGGGAAGAGGTGAGAGGAGAGGAGGGAAAGAGGTGTGAGGAGAGGGAGGGAGTAGGTAAGGCACAGGTGAAGGGGAGAGAATGAGGGAGAGGTGAAGGGTGCCGAGGGGGAATGGGAGAAGATATACGGAGGGAGAGGAAGGGAGTAGGTAGGGGAGAGGAGGAGAGTAGGTAGGGGAGAGGGGGGGAGAGGGAAAGAGTTTTGTTGACAGTCCTCACTATACCCTGGATGGGTGTTGTAGAAAAATGAACAAACGCACAAAAAATATATACACAAACTGGGACAAACGTCATACACAGAGATAGGTTAATAATCTTGGTTAAAAAGAACAGAACAAAACAAAAGAAAACACACAGCGATAGAGAAATAAACCGGCTCAATCACCAAAAACAAAAAAGGGGAATGATAAATTAACTCGGGCACAGTATTACAACAGAGATGAAGTGAGATACACCGCTCCGCCGCCCCCCCCCCAAACAAAATTATATATATATATATATATATATATATATATATATATATATATATATATATATATATATATATATATATATATATATATATATATATATATATATATATATGTAATAATCGAGACTAGGAGACGTTATCGCCCTTGTTGGTCAGCGAAAAAATATTGGGGGGTAAAAAAGACAACGAACTTTTACACATAACAATAAGTCATTTGTTTAGCTAATTCACACACACACGCGCACACACACACACGCACACACACGGAAACAACTTAAGTACGTAAGGAAATGAAAGGTTGTACGTCTGTACTGATTAAATAACATATCTGGATAAAGTAGATTCTCGATTGAATTCTGTCTCCCTTACTTCACAGCGTACCTAGCTCAGGTAAAATCTTAACTGATAACTCTGCTGTCAGTTTCTAAGATAATTTTCTCTTAACTAGTGCTAAGTTGATATATTTTATAGTTAAATGTTCCCTAAATGGTGCCAAATGAACATATCTACTTAAAGGTGTAATTTTGATGTCATTTAGGAGACTAATTTTGTCAAGGTAAGATCAAGTCTCAGTGAAATGCCATTTTTTACATAATTGAATCTGTTTTAACTTACGTCAAATTAGTTTAGTGCATTCACAGTATCCCAATGACGAGAAGAAGTTTCAACATATGAGTCTTTGAGAATTAGATACCTGGCTTTTGTTAGGCTTTGTGTGAAGTGAAACAAATGATTTTCTGTTATTTTTGCCTGTTCGTCCAGTGGTTCCCAAACTTTTTCTGATCATTACCCACTTTTCATATATGATCCTTATCCATGGCCCCCCTCTCCCAATCCATATCTCTGGCTGGCTCAGCTGCTGACTGGCTGTTCTAGTGTGGTGGGGCTTGGGATTTTTATGTGTACATAGCCTCAGCTTATGGCCCCTTAAATTTTGCTGGGGGGGCCATGGCCCCCAGTTTGGGAACCAGTGGTCTATACGATTGCTTCTGCGTTCTTTCTCTCTCTCTCTCACACATTACCCCCTCTTTTTCTCCTTTATCTTCCCCTTCCTTCCTTCTCTTCCTCCCCCTTCCCCCCATTTTTGTCACCCTCCCTCTCTCCTCTTCTCCCTCAATCTCTCCCCTTCTCCCTCAATACCTCCCCATCTCCCCTCTTCCATCCATCACTCAAATGAACAATTAATTCGTGAACGTCACATTCTCCGATATTTCCACGGAGTAAAAGTTAGTAAAAAATGAATGAAAATCGATTTTTTTCTAGACAGGTTTTGTGGTGGTGGGTGATTCGATCACCAGAGTTTAATGTGTTCGGTGATCAATGGAGAGAGAGAGAGAGAGAGAGAGAGAGAGAGAGAGAGAGAGAGAGAGAGAGAGAGAGAGAGAGAGCACCGTCTATCCCTTACTAACCCCTGTACCTGTATGTTACAGTTACAGTGTTCCACCACAAGTTCTACTACAGTGTGTATCACGCCGTGGGGTGGGGAGTGCCAGTACTCCTGACCGCCGCCTGGGCCACCGCCACCGCCATGCACTACGGCAACTCAAGGTAAACAAACTTCTTCATGACCGAATTTTGTTTTGTTTTTAATCTGATTTCGAGTCTCATTGTCGTCCTTATTGTGAATATAAGTCTGAATAATCTATACAGTCATTACCTTCTGATTAATGCCACACCGGGTACTATGAATTAGGTTTATTACCCTATAGTATGGGTGTGACGGATACAGCTCTCCCCTCCTGTCTTAAACGTCGTTGGTGTGCCCTCAGAACACACCCCCAGTTATCCAGCTGTGACTGAATGACGGTTGGGGTAGTGAAGGCGCCCGAATAAAATGCCCGCCATTCTGATTCCTCGTGTAATGAAGGTTTAGTGCCCAATGTGCTATACCCACACTGCCTGAGAGACCCACAATTTTTCACCCTAAGATCGTCTCTCCTGGGGTTGATATTTCCACAACTATTCTGAATTAGAGTCTGATGATCCACGGCCACCATTCTCATAGCTTACTCTACCCCCAGGTATAGTGAATGCCCTTTATAGTACCCTAGACATCTCCTTCCTGCCGAGACTCCTCATTTACATTCACCACAAAGGGTTCCAACTATTCAGGGGTAACCGTCTTAATTAACCAGGGTCGTCGTCTTAAAGCTTCACCCGAAAGTCTTAAGAAGAAACTAAGTCCTAATTTATAACTCCGAGTCTACTACTTCCTAAGATCATCAAGACAACTTCAAGTCTATCCCATTCTTATCTTTATTTTCCTTCTTTCTTATTTTCTTTCTCCAACACACTATTGAAGGAGTTAATTAAAACTTTTCAAAGCTCTTCCCTCAAGGGTTGCAATGATGACTATAGGCAAGCTAATCAAGACCCATTGAGTAAGCCCCGGAAAATAGGTTAAAGTTTCCAGTGGTTAATGTAAGTTAATATGGATGCTGTCTACCCTTGTCAGTGTAGATATCACTCAGGCACATTTTCATTTACAATTCAAAATAGCCGCGATACCACATCTTGTATTCAAAATAGCCATCAGAACTTCATGTTGGATTAAAAATAACCGTCAGTTTTCATGTTGGATTCAAAATAGCAGCCAGACTTCATCATATATTCAAAACAGACACAAGACTACAACTTAATATTCAAATACTCGCCACACTACACCTTAAATTCAAAACAGCCACCAGTCAACACCCAATTTTAAAGATAGCCGCCGCGACTACACCCTTAACGAAGCATCACCACCTTATCTCACCACAGAAGTATCTAGTAAACAACTGACTACCACTTAACATCCATTTTCTACACCACTGCTCATGACTTTACCACTAATCCCAACAGCAGGGTAATGTACGGTATATAACTGTGTGTGTTTTTATCCCTACAGGTGCTGGTGGGGATATAACTTCACCTCGTATTTTTGGATCTTGGAGGGGCCTCGCTTCTCAGTTATTTCGGTGAGTATCAGGAAATGTTCAACCTTTAGAAACGTTCATCCCTGGAAACGTTTAAATTATAGAAACGACCAATAATAAACACGTTTAAATTATAGAAACGTTCATCCCTGGAAACGTTTAAATTATAGAAACGTCCAATTATAGAAACGTTTAAATTATAGAAACGTTTAAATTATAGAAACGCTAAAATTATAGAAACGTTCATCCCTAGAAACGCTGAACTCATTTAGATAGATGAATAGACTAAACAGACAAAGGAAAAGATTGATAAGATACAAATAGATTAGAGAGAGAGCAAAAAAAAGAGTAAATGGAAGAGAGAGAGAGAGAGAGGCGCTACAAACTCAAAAACTGTAGACAGAAGAGAAATGTAAACAAAGGCGACAGGCATCTTAATTACGACCAACCAGGAAGTGAGATTAAAAAAAATAAATAAAATATAATAAAAACACTGGGAAAAAGAGGAAAGGGGGTAGGGGAAGGAAGGGAGGACGGAGGTAGGGAAGATGGGAAAGGGGATTGGGAAGAAGGGAAAGGGGTAGATAAGGCGAAAAGGGGGGTAGGAAAGGGGAGAAAGGAAGTAGAAAAGGTGGAAAGGGTGTAGGGAAGGGAGATTGGAAACAGTGAAGGGGAGAAAGAGAGTGATAAAGGAGAAGAGGTAAGAAGAGAGGTCGGAAAGAGGGAGGTAAGAGGGGTAAAGAGGGGAAGGAACAAAAGAGGAAGTGGAGGAGAGAGAGAGAGAGAGAGAGAGAGAGAGAGAGAGAGAGAGAGAGAGAGAGAGAGAGAGAGAGATTTAATAAAACATATTATTGACTACCAATATCATCCCTGCCACCACCACCATCACCACCCTAACCACCACACACTACTACAGCAACCACCACCACCACCACCACCACCACCACTACCACAGCAACCACCACTTCCACCACCAACGCCACCACAGTACCCACCACCACCACCCTTAAGGAGAACATTTTCCCCGGTATGGTTCCACGGGATTACCTGTTGACCAACAATAAGTAATTACTCTCTAAGCTTCCTTACCTGAGCAGATAGGTCGTCGGGTCCCCGGGTCCAGGTAGGCCAACCCCGACAAAGAATAAATGAAGATTAGGTCGAGACAGACATAAAGAGAGAGAGAGAGAGAGAGAGAGAGAGAGAGAGAGAGAGAGAGAGAGAGAGAGAGAGAGAGATTAAAAACTATAAGAGTAAGAACTAAAGAGAAAGACACAACTTTCAAGAATTTACTTACAACAAAACACACACACACACACACACACACACACACACACACACACACACACACACACACACACACACACACACACACACACACACACACACACACTTAAAACGAAACAATAGAAAAACGAAAGTAAACAATAACACCATAAAATAACAAGTAAACAAGAAACAGACAATTAAACAAATAGACAATTAAAGAAACGAAACAAACACCGATAATTTACCAACCCTGAATAACACAAGTAGATTTGATCAATACATCGAAAACAAACACAAAAAATCGAAAACAAACTTAAAAGCGAAAACCAAAAAAACTAAACACTAAAATCACAAACACAAATCACTGAAAAACACGAAAAAAACATGAAATGCTCAAACGCAAAACACAAATAAAACACGAATAAAACAAAATCACCAAAAACACAAAACACCGAAAAACACAGACACAAAAAACACACACACAAAATGAAACACAAACTAAACACCAGAAATACATATACCTGGTCGGGAATGCCAATACCAGACAGCAAGAAAGGCTTAAGGACGTTGATCCCGGCCACTGGCACAGTCATTAGTGAGAGAGAGAGAGAGAGAGTATTATTATTATTAACAATAGTTTAATATCTTACTTTTTCGTTTACATCTATTTGTTCGTTTCTGCAACAGTGTTTTTCATTTACATTTTATGATACGATTATATATATACATAATTGTCACTAAATAAAGGACAGTTTATATAGTGTAAACTGTGTATAATACATAAGGAAAGAGCATTATGGAATATGTAAAGGAAATCTATGAGACACTTCAGTCCCACAATTTTACTGCTACATTTCAGTTCAACATTAAGCTTCATGCTGACCTACATCTTTATTCCGTTGCACATTTCCCTAATCACCTACTAATTCTAACTTTCATCTGCACGAGACAAATATTTCACAAGTAAATTGTTACTCGTTTTGTTCACATAAAACGTAATTTCATGGTAGACGAACACCTAGTGAGGTGTTCTGTCAACCACCACCACATTTCGTTCTCGGGGCACACGAAGGAACACAACGGACATCCCTGGGAATGCATTTTGACACTGTATTACCAAACACATTTCATTCTCTAAGGCTCAAATGACCTCCGAGACACTAAATTTCCGACCATTGTCGTGTAATCACAGAGTCCTCGGCTGCCTGATGACGCACCTCCAGGGGAAACGTGCGTCCATTTTTAAGTGCATATCTATTACACTTTGTGAAGGCACGGGGAGTGAGAGGCTCTTTGCTTCTCGCTTTGGGGGGGGGGCGGGGGGGATGGGAGAGGAGCTGCGTTGAGATGGGTGATGGCTGGTCTGACTGGCAAGTGTGCATGACCTGTCGACGTTGCGAGTGTTGGGGCTAAGTTGATGTCCACAGAGTAGGTAGAGAGGCAGGAAGAAATAATGATCGGGTGTTAAATGACCATGACTGATGGTTGAGAGTTTCTGTGGTGGTACACTAGCCATACAGTGGAGCAGTACATGACTACACCGTCGACAACTGTGGTGTCTGAGTGATATTAAAAGCATAGAGTCATCGATCAGCAGGAGGTGACAATCACAGAAGCAGACGTTATCAGCTGACTGTACATACACTACTATCTCCACGAACTGTTACAGTGACTGTGTAAAACAACTGGGTTCAAACTGTTATCTAATGTTGCCCAAGACAATCAAGGTCGTAACCGCTACAAAGGCCCCAGTATCAGCTGTCATACATAATGGTCAGTCTGTGGAGAGACGACGCTAAGACAACGCATGAATAGATCTGTAACTTAATGGTCCTGCGGGGCGTCATTCTGCCAACAAATGCAACAGCCAACATCAAAATAGACACAGAGAACACCGATGTCTTTGTCCTGCTCGTGCAAACTCGTTGTTGTCAGTTTCCAAGGCCGCAACAACAACGCATCGTGATAATACACAACAACAATTCTCGATACGTTGACTCAACATGTGTGTTCCTTATACGGGGTATCTGGGAAGGGGAAGTTGTGAAGATGCTTTGAGACGAGTACAAGTTAGAGGATATTGGAAGGTTTGCTGCACTGATGAAGGATATCACTCCAAAGGCTTGAGTCAAGATTCATCGCTGCTTGAGAAAAGCTCTCGAGTTCAGGTCCAAGATGACAGCCTGCCAGCCACCAAGTGTGTCATGTGACCTTCAATGACGAACACCTAAACAACATCAACTGCAGGATCTAAGGGAACCCCTTCAACATGACATACAACTGGACCATAATCGCTGGCCAATTATATTCCCCCAGACCTGGAAGTGTTACTGTCTTGGTAGAGTCGTAGTGAAGTCTGGTCCTGCTCTACCAAGTGAGGCTGATCAAGTGCCTCTTCATATACCCAAGATAACTACGTGTGGTTATTTCGAGCATAATTCGTGGTCCAGTGGACGTCTTAGTGATGCACTAGCGCACTTATCTTGTACGGTGTTCTGTGGATGCCGGGGAGTGAATAGACACGCTGGGGCAGTCAGTTCACAAGTATGCGGCCGGAAATGATGAGCAATAACTTGCCAAAGATTAAATACAGGATAAAACATTGAAAACAATTAATTATAAAATACTGAAAGTCAGACATAAGGTCCAAATCTAGACGCCAACAAATTAACCCCACGATACGTAACGCTAAAGTGAACTTCATAACAGATCACCATAAAACAAACTCAAGAACAGAATGACAAAAGTATAGCGCGCGCACGCGTGCGTATATGTGTGTGAGAGTGATCCCTAAATGACTCCTACAAAACACAACAGAAACACTTACACGGCCATCAGTGTAGGCAGTAGGGGACGAGAGCGAGAGGGAGGGGAGGGGAGCCAATCCACGCCAGCCTCGCTACTTCAGGCCAAGTACCCGTCGGCTTGAGGAGTTGCGAGAGAGAGAGAGAGAGGAAACAAATGACAGAAAGAACAGTAGTTGAAATTGATGGTTGAGAAGAGATAAACTTGAGGTGCCGGTGAGAGACAAACAAGAGAGGGAAATTGATGAAGGAGGATCGATCAGACAGACAGACAGACAGGTAGACAGGTAAGAGAGACAAGTATATCCTCTCATCTCAATAAAAAAAGAGACAGAAATAACTGACAGGAAGGTTAAGGATGGTGGCTGAGGCAAGATATATTTCAGTGGTGTTGAGACAGACGAGAAAACCTACCCGGGCAGACAGATAAAGTCGGATAGATAGACGGAAATGGAGCTTGTTATTTTTCATTGAGAGAGAGAACTGACATGAAGGGATAATATTTCAGGTTGAATGTTGTGCCTGTGTGTTATGTGTGTGTGTGTGTGTGTTAATCCTTTGAGAACGATGGTTTAAGATATAACCCTTTTGAGGACGATGGTTTAAGATATAAACCCTTTTGAGGACGATGGTTTAAGATATAAACCCTTTTGAGGACGATGGTTTAAGATATAAACCCTTTTGAGGACGATGGTTTAAGGTATCAATTGGAGGACTGGGAAAAAAAATAATAAATTTTGGAAGGATTCGAGATAACGTTATTAATATTCGGGGATTGGGACAAAGGGTCAAATGTTCGGTGGGGATTGGGAATAATTTCTCACTTTTTAATTTGTTTTCAGCCTTATTTCCATTACTGGTACGTGAGAGAGAGAATAATTATGAGACAAAGTAAATATTAGAGTAAAAGGAGAAACTCTTTCCCGGGTGTCACTGCAGGCTTCGGGTCGATGCATAAAAAAAAACAGACCTTCAAGTGTTCTTCGCAAGATGTAGTAGGAAGTGAGAGAGTGAGCCGAGATTTTCAAAGACTCCTACATTAAGTTGTTGTTTTTTTTTTTTTACCATCTTAAGGATAAAGTTCATGACTTCGTTACGATACAACGATGGATTCTCAAAAGTTCGTGTGTATTAAGTCACTCTCATTGCTAGAGATGACAAATCGTATCGAAACGAGAAGGGGGGAGGGGAAGCGGATTCTCACGAGATTCTTGGGTTAATTTACCACTTAATTGAAGATAATATAATAAAACGCATAATTGGCTCACTTACGACACAGCGATTGGTTCGTAAAATCAACAACACAAAGATGGCAGCTAAAAAATTAAGAACTAAAATGAAATCGAGACTTTACCATAACTAAGCGAGGTGGTGGGATCCTACAGCCAACGTGAAGGTACATAATTTCATTCATGTCCGTCCGTCCGTCCAAATCTTAAGAATGGATGGACGGATCGAACTGAAACTTGTCATACCACTTTCTCACCAATGACTTCTAACCAGAGGTACCAAACCACCATTAGCTCTCCCGTTAGTACTAATGTGGTGCCCGAGTCCACCTGAAGATGCTCTAGCAAGGACATAATAAATATTCCCGATTAATAACTGAAGCCCATAATGACGGATGGAAGTAATAGGTGCTATTCAATGTCTGGCTCGAGTAAAGGAACTGCCATCTACCCAACTATTGTGTGCTGGGGAGAGAACAACAAATAATATTAAACTCCCTACTTGTTGGTTGTTGATAATGGTAGACTAAGACAATTGTGGTTAAGGGCAAGTAAGGTTTCCACTAAGTTACTATTATGATGTTTTGATGGACTGATAACAAACTGGGAATACTTGTTTTACGTCGCTGGAATCTATAGGAGGTGTTGGGACAGTTACCAGCGCCTCCTTGATATAGTTACATGATTTACGAGGTGACTTGAGCTGTTGAGTGTTGCAACATCAACTTCTGCCTGGAGAGTTCATCACCTTGAATACTAACTATCCTTTATAATTATTTAATTATGTCAAAAGGATTTTATGCAAGTTGTTGTTTATACGAAAGTGACCTCATTTGGTGTCTATATTGTCAACTAAATAGAATGATTGACTTGATCAAAACACTGTAATTATATTCATTTTCTTTACATAAATGACAAAAGGTTTGAATCATAAATTACTTTATATCAGATAAATATTTTTGTGGGAGGGGGTCACTTAAAATGAAGCTTTTGTGGCCTTTTAGGTAAAATTAAATATTAACTTTGATATCAAGAAACTTTCTCTTTTATATAGCCTACAGATGTCATTATTGTTATCATTACATTTTATATATTGTCTCTCTCTCCAAGCCACACGAACTGTAATGCCCCCCCCAAAAAGAACCCTTAATATATATATATATATATATATATATATATATATATATATATATATATATATATATATATATATATATATATATATATATATATATATATATATATATATATATATGTACATACATACTTCATTTTTAGTCCATATAACACGCGGACTTTGAACATATATTCATACCAGCTGGATTCCGTAAAATGCTACTGACACCACATAAGAGGCACGGGCAGCTTCCCAATGAGGTTCACGGCGCCATCAGCTCGATGAACAGGCTTTGTGTGAAATATAACAGAGTCTAGAACTGCTTTTAGTGTCCTTGTGGCCTAGCTGGTAAGCGTTCCCTAGTCCCACCCAGTAGGTCGAGGGTTCGATTCCTTGCTGGTGAGGTCGTTGATTATATATATATATATATATATATATATATATATATATATATATATATATATATATATATATATATATATATATATATATATATATATATAATTACTAATATGTGTTCTTCCTTCTACAGATGAACATGGTGTTCCTTCTGAACATCATCAGAGTGTTGGTCACCAAGCTGAGGCAGAGTAATTCCAGCGAGGCTCTGCAGGTCAGGTACGTACGTACACACACACACACGACAGTTCTACCTGGAGACACTGACCTACCTACAGGTCTGGTTAACACTGTGTTGCCATTTTTAGAGAACCAAAATATGGACAAATACTGTATTTTCATTCTGCAATACCTGTATAACATGTTCAATGGAAAGTAAATAAATAATGTACCCAACACATGTACGTAATAATAATAATAGCTGCCCCTCGTGTACGAAGATGGCCGGCCCTAGGGCCACCTAGGCGTAAATTGTTTAAGGTGTAGAAGCTGTCGCCAACACAACAACCACACCCTAAGTTAACGAGTTGCATGACCCAGTGTCAAGGGATAGTCTTAGAAGACGGACAACTCGCCAACTGCACTGGCTAACCATTACCCCGGAACACGATCCTCAAGTCAATTAACATCCAGGTCCCCAATTACTGCTTGGTAGACAGGCAAATGGCGTAAAAAAAAAAAAAAAACATTGTTTCACCCTGCCCGGCAATCGAACCCTGGACCACTCTTACGAGGCGAACAGCTGACCATTACACCACAGGTCCAGCACATACATACATACATGCATGCATACATACATACATATAGTAATGCACACACATACCGGTAGGTTTTTATCTATATATATTTACGTATGTGTACAAGTTAAATGTATACAGTATATAACATAAGTTCTCTCCCATATCTGCGTGTGGTGACCTCCCCGGCCCTCTGCCTGGCTCCGATCTCGTCATGCGCCTTCAACTCCTCCAACTTTACCTCGGCTATGGTTCGGGTGTGGACGTACAGGAAGGCGGTGAAGGCGGCCATTGTGTTACTGCCACTGCTTGGCATCACTAACGTGCTCAACATGGTGGCGGCGCCCCTGGGACGCTCGGCGGCAGAGTTCGGGCTGTGGTCGTACGCCACTCACTTCCTCACCTCATTCCAGGGCTTCTTCATCGCCCTCCTCTACTGCTTCCTCAACGGCGAGGTCAGTCCACCCTCGGTCTAGTGACCGCTCACATCCACTAACAGGGATTTTTGTTTATGTACAGTTTGCACACACACATAAGGGTTACCCCTCTTATTCAAGGCTTAGGGTCACCTCGGCGTGAATATGATTCAGGCGCAGAAGCTGTCAGCAACACCTAAACCATACCTTAAACCGATCTGTGTGACCCAGTGTGACACAGTGACCAAAATAGACCCGAAAACTCGCTAAATTCATTGGTTAGCCATTACCTTGGAACACGTTTACAGTTACTGTTGGTAGAGAGGAAAATGACGCCGTAAGGAAACTTGCCAATTGTCTCATCTTGTCCGGGGATCAAACTCGAGACCACTCGCTTGTGAGGCCAGCATACTGTCCACAAATACCACAGATTGTTAATACATGCCTACAATACAATACACACGTCAATATAGAAGAGAAATATGTCCACACACACACACACACACACACACACAAATATGCGATGCATAAACAAAACACACCTACAACATACACAAAATACAAACGCGTACACAGGAAAGTATACTGTACACTCAAATACACTGTAAATGTCGAAACGAAGCACGAATCTATACGTGGCACTAATTAACACAACTAAGCCTTGACGTCCGCGAGTAGTAATAAAAGTTTTATAAATTATTTGTTTTCTTAATCACTTGTTACTCGAAGTCTCGGATATAAATGTTACACAAAAAGACATAGCAGCGAATGTATTAAATATTTTAAAATACATTATATACAGTATGTGTAGAGAACTAATCAACCAGAAATACACATTAAGGATAAATAAAAAAATAATAGGTAGAGGATAATAAATAAACGAATAAAACGACGTAAATAGGAAAATAAAAGATACACGTAGATAAAATAGGCCAGTAGATAAGAATTTAATTAGCCGGAAAAGAGACAAGGTACGCACATGTATCAGCACCTTAATGACCCTCTCCACAGGGAACACAACCCCCTTCCCCTCCCTCAGGAGCACCCCGCCCAAATGACGTTAACCACAAACTTTATCAGAAATTCCGACCCTAAAACTGAACTGTAAAAGGGGCGACCATTCCCCTCCCTCCACCACCACAACTCACACGATAAAAAAATATATACACTTTGTAAACTTTTTACTTAATAACATAATAGACGACCAAGTTGTACTATCAGCAATGATCATTTCTTTATATAGGCTACATGGCCTAAGGTTGTCCATCCCATACACCTAATATAAACATTTAGAAATATAATTATAACAAATATATTATCTTTAATGGTCTGATGATCGTAATGGTTATCATAATTATTAATAGTAGTAACAGTTCATGGATCACTATTATTATCACCATCATAATAAATTATAATTATTACTGTTTCAGGTATCATCACTATCAATATTACTGTCTTAGTTATTATTACTAATATAACATTATTATTATATTTTTTACTATTATTATATGAATATTTTCCTCTATATCTTATAAGTATTTATGAAGTCTTAATTCCTTTATACGATTCAATATTACCTATATAATATATTTAGATAAGATATAAATGGAGAAAGAGAGAAATTAAAAGACGCAACTCACTCTGCCATCTTTAAAATCTCATTTCTCTCGTCATGGCTGTGAGATGATGTTAAAACACTGGCGAGTTGAACCAGGAATGCCTGTGTGTGTGTGTGTGTGTGTGTGTGTGTGTGTGTGTGTTCTAATCTCATCTCCTGACAGGATTCTACAAAGCAAATAGTCGTATTACTTCAGACATCCCGGATCCTAATTTCCGTTTTCTTTTCACTGTTCCTCCCACTCTGCATCCTGGAACGCCTCCGTGAACGCTGCTGTACTGCCATCTGAACGGACACGAACGTACGTCACAGGTACGGACGGCGGTTAGGAAGTACGTGGACAACTACCTACTCCACCGCAGCGCCGGGGTGCGTCGAGGGTCTGGGCTGTCGTCCGTCTTCCTCACCACAGTGACTGACCTGCCAAGGGACCGGCACGGCCGGACCAGACACCTCTGTGCCTGCCTGAGGGGCAATCACAGTCCTACACATGGGTGAGTAAAGCCAGCTCTTTCTCATCGTCTAAGGAATCATAATGCCGTTATATAAACGTCCTTTGTAGTTGAAGAAACACATACAAAAACAACACGACAAATAAGAAACCGAACAATTTATTCAAATTACCAAAGGCATATTTAAATTTCCTTACACAGAAAAAAAGTCATCGTCTCTCCACCAAAATGGCCTGTGTTTACGAGGAGAGAGAGAGAGAGTCCGTTTTTCGTCCCATGTGATGTCAGTCTCTTGTCGCTCCTGAAGTACACGTCTTTTGCCCAGCAACGACAAGACCCCCGCCCCATCCTCTTGGGAGATGGGCGGAGGACACCAGCCTGTCCTTCTTCTTTGTTTATAAACCCAGGAGATAATCCATCCTTTTTCTTTCTCTAAGCCCAAGAGAAAAACAGTTCCCCCTCTATATTTCCAAGCATAAAAGACAACGTGTCCCTGTCTCCAAGTTCAAAATACAATCTGTTGTCTCCCTCTATCTCCTCCAAGTCCAAGAGAAATTCAGTCCCCCTCTCTACTTGTACTACTCTATCTCCAGGCCATGGAGACAAATCATACTCCTCCTCTACAGACCCGGGAGACACAACCACCCTAAACTTGGTCTTGATCCTGCGGTAGGTTCATTAGTCGTGGTGTCCCCTGCTGACGTCTACTCTTCACTCCTGAGGTCCCACCAACCTACCTATGCCTGGGTGATAGGACATGATGCGTTCGTTCGGTTACAGAGTGTTCGTTTAGAGGTCACATTCGAATGAATCGCGTTCGTTTGTGTACGAATGAGCGACGATCATTTATAATTGTGCCCTATTACTGCGTTCATTTTCAGTTGCTTTCAATTGAGCTGCGTTTGGTCCACAGAGATTCACCAGAAGCTTAAAATCCATTTATCCCCAACTCAGCCCATCCCATTGAGTGTAAATTACCAACTGATTGGGAGATCTATCAACTGACACCCGTGAATCAATGGTTATGGGAGTGTGGAAAAGAGGGGGGAGAGGGGTGGAGGAAGATTGAGAAAGAAGGGAGAGGGGTGGAGGAAAAGTGAGAGGGAAGAGAGAAGGGTGGACGAAGAGTAAGAGGGAAGAGAGTGGCGGACGAAGTGAGAGGGAAGAGAGGGGTGGAAGAGGAAGAGTGAAAGGGAATAGAGATGGGTGGAGGAAAAGTGAGAGAGAAGAGAGAGGGGGTGGAGGACGTGATAGGGAAAACAAAGGAGTGGAGGATGAATGGGTGGGGAGACGTATAGAGAAAAATGAGTGGGAAGAGAGAGGAATGAAGAAGAGGGCAGGAGGATAGACGGATGGGAAAAAGCGGGAAGAGAGGGAAAGAAGGAGCGAAGAATAAGGGTAGGGGGGAAAGAGATGAACAGAAGACGGGCCAAAAACGTGTGTGGGAAGAGAGGGTTGGGGAAGAGAAGAGGAAGAAAGGGATGAATAAAGAACAGGTGTGAGGGAAGACGAGTGATGAAGAAAGGGATGGGACAGGGATGACAAAGAAAGGGGGAAGAAGATTGGAAAAGTGGGAAGACGGGAATGAAAGAATCAGTAAGAAAGAGTATTGGGAGTGGAAGGGACAGGAGAAAACAGAGAAAAAGAAGGAAGAAATGGGAGAAAAATATTGGGTAAAAGGGCTGGAAAATCCACAATGAGAGAGAGAGAGAGATTTTCTTACATAAAGGAGTTCAAACAATGGTGAACCTTTTGATGTCTCGTATTGGATCTTGTGTACATAACTTTGAGATCCGAGTTTTTTAATAGAATTTGACTGGATGTAAAAACAACCCAAGTCACTCTTAAGTTTAAAAAGTACATGAAATACGGATGTAATATAACTCCTCCCAATAGTAAACAAAGGTATGCATAAGGAGAGAGGTGAATAGAGAGACAGACAGTCATATTCACGGGCTGGGGAAAAAACGTAGACTCGCTTAAGGTGAAACTCGGTAAATCTCGAACAGCAGCGAATATGATGATAAGCAAACAAACAAGTGTATACAAAATCAGCTAGACAAATAAAAGTAAGTAAGTCAATAAACAAAATCATGGAGGTTGTAGAAAATGTAGACTCACTGATTGGTTAATGGGAAACTCTGTTAAATCGAAAATATCAGTGAAAGTGATGATAACATGACAAATAAATGCATAAATGACCAAACAAAAGAAAAAAATTAACAAGTATTTAGATAAAGATAAATGTAACCATAAGGTGATAAAAAAAGTTGATACACTGATTGGTTAAAGGGATTCCGCTGTATACACCAGATAATTACTGTACCATTTCTCTTGTCTAGTTCGATACATAAATCAACCAGAGACCTTAGTCACTTTACATGAAGTTTATTTTGGTGGTCTAAGTTCATGTGATTCGGTTTTAACAATGCAAGTAATAGTGAAGAAGGCTATCTTGGTGGTGGTTATAGTCGAACAGGCTATAGTGGCTCGAGTTGTAGTGTGCAAGCTATAAATGTGCGGCTTACAGAAAAGTAGGCCATAGCAACACAAGCATCAGTGGAGCAGGACGTAGCAGCACAAGCTCTAGTAGCAGGGTATAGCAGCGCAGGCTCTAGTGTTGCAGACATAGTAGCATAGGTTCTAGAAGTGTAGGCCATAACAGTGCAGGAGCAAGGCAGGCTATAGCACTGCAAGCCATGTGAGCGTAAGCTCCAGCGGTGAAGTCTGAGATTGCGGCATCCAGGCGGTTCTCCTAAACCCTACATATTGATTTCCGCCCACAGACTCTCTTAGTCAAATAAAGGAATTCATAAAACGGTGCAGTGTAAAGGAGAGGTGAACCTCCTCTGGCTACCACTCTTCCTCCTCCTCCTCTTCATCCTCTCAGGACTACTCTTATCCCTTCTCATAAATTTGCTCCTTTTCTTCCTTTCTCTCCTCTTCCTCATTCTTTTCTTAAACCTACTTTTCTTTCTCGTCCACCCTCTTCCTCTTAGGTCTATCCTTCCTATTTATCATGTTCAGCCTACTCTTCCTCTCCCCCTCTTCTTAAGATTACTCACTCTTAATAGTTCTTTTCCTCCTTCTACTCCTGCTTCTGTTCTTCATCCTTCTCTTAGCCCTCCTCCTCCAGTTGCTCTTCGACCTACTCTTCCTGTTCGACAAACTTTCCCTCTTCTTCAACGACTTTTTTTCTCTTCATCCCCCAAACATCTACAATTTCTTTTCCTCCTTGGCGTAATAGGAGGGAGCTGAGGATGGAACCTGGAGTACCTTCGACCGATTCCTTCCTCTTCAAACTTCTCTCCTTCCTCCATGTCGATCTTTCTCTCCTCCTGATCGAACAGTAGGATGGATACAAGTGGCGCGACCTTGATGTACTCTTCTCTTCCTCCTCCCCATCCTCTTTATACCTGCGTTATCTTAATGATCGTGATGGTGGGTGACAATAAATCGCTGACGCCGCCCCAGCCTCTCGGCCTACTCAAAAAACCGACGTTGATTAGATGAATAGTGCTGATTGAAGCCAAATTTTCAACCCCCCCTCCCCCTCCGCCATCTCTGTAACAGTCGCCTTTTACGCTCTTCCCCTGTTTAAAAAAAAAAAAAATCGAACCAGCCACACACCTTTACACCCCACCAACCCCCCTACCGTCTACACACCCCTCCACACACTTTCTTATCCCTCCAACCGTCTACACACCTCACCAACCGTCCACACTCTCCACCAACCGTCCACACACCCCTACACGAACACCCAACCATAGGCGCACCCCTTCACATACATCTACACTTCTTCAGATGTAGACACAACCCGCTTCACTCCTCTAAACGTACACACAACCCGCCCGCAACCCACCCACACATACAGCCAACCACACCCAGGGCCGCCGAGAGCTGGCCAAGGCCCCGGGCAAAGATACATTTATGGGCCCCTTTATAAATACATCTAATATTTATAGTCCCCTTTTCCCGGGCCCCTAGAAGCTCAAGATCAAGTTGTGTGTGTGTGTGTGTGTGTGTGTGTGTGTGTGTGTGTGTGTGTGTGTGTGTGTGTGTGTGTGTGTGTGTGTGTGTGTGAGAGAAAGACAATTTGAGAAGGCAAGTGACACACGCGAGCTGGAAACTTATCCACGACCACCACTATGGGTATTACCGCCTCTTGGGGTTATGAGATCAAGGTTGTCGTGTCTGTCTGTCTGTCTGCGTAGGTATAACAAGAGTGACAGTTTCTGTGTTTATCTATGGATATAATTCTGTCTGCGTGTGAGGAGAGGGGGGGGGGGAGAATGGTCAAGGTCAGGCTGTAACTCCATCAAAAATGTGTTTTACTTTCCACAACTCAAACTGGCCACGTTAACAGTTACTGACTTTCAAGCAAGAATCTCTCTCTCTCTCTCTCTCTCTCTCTCTCTCTCTCTCTCTCTCTCTCTCTCTCTCTCTCTCTCTCTCTCCTTGAGTTTATCGCTATGTCTGAAAAGATACTTGACGTAGTGGGATTTTGTCAAACTGGATTTTGTACAATCATATTTTATCCACTAGGATTTTGTCCTAAGAGAGCGAGTCCGTGAGCCAAGTTTCTACTTCACAAACACCTGGAAGCTGTGATTGATTGAAATCAAACACAGGTGAGGGGGAGGGTAGGAGGGTCTACCTTAAACCCTACGATAGGGAGAGAAAAGGGGAAAGGAGAAAAGAAGGGAGGAGGGGAAAAGATGGTGAGAGAAAGAGGGGAAGGGAAGGGTGTAGGGATGAGAGGGGGGTTGAGAGCCTCCAATAGATTCCACGGTAAGAGCCAGATGAGGTGAGGGAGGAAACTGGGGAGGGAAGGAAGGATGGAGGGAGAGAAAGAAGGAGGGGTTTAGGTAGGCATAGAATGAGGGAAAATGTAGTAGACAGAAGATAGATAGATGGATGAATGGATGGATGGATGGATGGATGGATGGATGGATGGATGGATGGACAGACAGACAGACAGACAGGGATAGATAGATAGATAGATAGATAGACAGACAGACAGACAGACAGACATATAGATA